AGTAATGAAAAGAAACTAGTAACCCAGCATATGTTATTATTTGGAAGTATCACTATTTCCATCTAAAATTAACATCTATGGATCAAATTTATCGTAGTCTCAGATGATGGTTAGGCTCTTAAATATTGAAGATGTGTATACCTCGTATTCTTATACACAATTAATTTACTCAAAAAGAAAGAAAGATTTTGAAAATTTTCTTATATAAATATTAAGTAAAGATTAACCAGACCAAATTTAGAACTGCAAATAGTAAGTGAAGACTAACCTGTGTACATCTCATGCAGGCTACAACTTGATCCTGTCCATGCGCGCCTACAAATAGATCCAGAGATTGAGGTCAAGTAGAACATTTCTACGAGCTTCAGGTGAACATAGTTACAAAGGAAAGGGGGGTCTCAGGCTCAGAATCAGGTCGGTAACTTCAAAATTTTGAGAGTTAAAACCTTCAAGGTTCAAGCAATCCCTCAACACGGAAAATATGTACATATTTCAGTAATCTTTTATAAACACTCCTTCATAACTCAGCGTCATCAAGGTGATTAATGCACACTTCCATGACTTGAATGAATAAGAATCTAAACAACTAAATCGAAGATTCGCCCATTAATAAACCATTTATGAAGAGCTTTTATTGTTGAGTTGAGAGGAGTGGTGGATACTAAGAAATATATTGTTATTATTTCTTTAGTGGTACAAACACACTATACTCTCAAATACAAATACTCTTTCTCTCTCTCTCTCTCTCTCTATATATATATATATCTTTCTCTTTCTCTCTCTGCTACTAGGATCTCTGTTCGATGCTCTAACCCTTCACTACTCTCCTCTATTTATAGCCTTCAAAAGGGTTGGTGGAACAATGTTTTTAGGTTGGTAGAACAGTAATGGGTTGGTGAGTTATTGTAGCTAGGTAGGTGGAGAGGTTAGGTGAGGTGGAGAGCCGTTGACTTCTAACACTCCCCCTCAATAGCGACTTCTCTATCCACAAGTCCAAGAATTCTAATTTCCTTTTCAATGCTTGGATTTTCTCTCTCACTAGTTGTCTCCATTTTTCACTCTCATATGCTTCTTTGAAGGTAGATGGATCCTTCACATCTTTCATAATGGCCACATTAGCATACTTGAGATTCGGCTTCCTAGGTCTGGTTGATCTTTGAAGTTGTTCAGTTGGTTTTTCTTCGATATTCTCTATCTAGCTTAGGCGCTCTTCTTCTTGCGTTGTCTGATAAACACTAGTTGTCCATGGATTATTCTCTTTTGAGGATGTTGAAGAGCTTGATTTTGTCTTCTCTGATAGTTGTAGTCCTTCTCCTTGACCTGGTTCCCCCAGTTTCTTCTGCAACTGATCCTCTAGATCACTAGAGTCTAGGAGTGCAACTTCTTGTGAAGCCCACCAAGACAAAGCTTCGTCAAACACAACATTCCTTGATGTGTAGCACCGTCCGGTTGTAGGATCACAACATCTCCATCCTTTTTTTTATTGTCATACCCCATAATTATATATCTTACAGTCTTTTTATCGAATTTGCTGCATAAGTGATCAAGCACAAAGACATAACATACACAACTGAATACTCTGAAATGACTTACGGTTGGGTTGGTATTCCAAAACTTCTGAAAGGAGGACATGAACTCCAGCTTTAGTTGCGGTAGCCGACTGATCATGTGCGTCACAGCCTTCATACACTCAGCCCAAAAACATCATGGCACATTCTTGGCATGAAGAATACTTCTGCAAATTTTGGCGAGGTGACGATTCTTTCTTTCGGCTATGCCATTCTGCTGTGGAGTATTTGGACACGTTAGCTGTCACCAAATCTTGTGCTGCTTCAGGTAGTCATAAAACTCCTTCAATGTGTAATCTTCCCCATTGTTTGTGCGTAGGCAACAAATCTTCTTGCTGAGTTCTCCTTCGACTTCGTCTCAAAATTGCTGAAATTTAGAGAGTGCTTCAAACTTTTTCTTCATAAAATCAACCCGGAATCGTCGATGAAAGTGATCATGTACCGCATCCCACTGATTGATTCTTGTTTTACTCGACCAAATACATCTGAGTGTACAAGCTCCAAAGGTTCCTTGGCTCTAAACTGTGACTCCTGATACGATAATTGATGCACCTTACCATACTGACAACCTCTGCATATGGTCCCTCCTCGAATCTCCAAGTGTGGAAGCTCCTTAAACATTGACTTTTCTATCATAATATTGAGCTTGTGATAGCTCATGGCCAAGCCGAACATGCCATAGATCAGTCGTCTTATTTGTTTTGGCTTTATCTATGTATGTCGATTCTGCCGACATCACATAGACATATTCTACCTTCTGTCCCTCCATGATAGGTTCTCCTGGTGGCTTCAAGTTTCGATAGACTTTTATATCTTGTGGCCCAAATACTACATAGTTTTCAGAAGCTATTAACTGGAAAACAGATAGAAGATTCTTTTTCATACCCGGTACATAGTATACATCTTATAGTTGTATCAGATTTGGGTTGTAGCGCGGCGTAAATGCAGTCTTTGCAATGTGTGTGATAGGTAATCTTGAATTATTCGCTATCACAACTTCTCGGCTGCCTTTATACTCCTTCATGTTGATAAGTTTTCTTTTATCTCCTGTCACGTGGTTAGAACAACTAGAATCGACGATCCAATATTTGTTATAGCTAATTTCTTCTCGATTTGAAACCGCTGCAAATGCGGACTCAGATTCTTCTACAATCGAGGTTAGTGTCATACCAACAATCTCGTATTTATTGATTGGTACATCTTCAATGATGGCCACGGATGCTTGGGAATCCCATTCTTCTTCATCATCTTGACATCTGCATGATGTTGCAGCATTGCCCTCTGTAGGCCTTCTCTTGTAACGACAGTCTCTGGCAAAGTGTTATTTCTTCTCACAGTTGTAGCAGCTATTGTCAGGTCTTCTTGCTCGACGATCACCTTGCTCCTCACGCTCTTGTATTCTATCAGTGTATGGTCATCCTGACTGCCTCCTTGAACCAGCTTTTTCATACTCGTCTTTCCTCGTGCCTCTTAGTTTGCCTCTCTCCTTGCTGCTGAAGAATGCTTTATCTTTGCTTTTTATTGAAATGTCGGCCATTTGTTTGGCTAGAGTTTCCTGTGTAGTGAGCAAACTCTCTAACTATAATATTGTTGGTTGAGTCGGCCACCCGTGTGTAGTAGCACCAAGTCTGTGATATTCCGGTCTCAAACCGTGAATGATTATTCTCCTCATCCTTGCATCAGATACTTTAGAATCTGGATGTAGTTGAGCAATATCTAAACAAAGTGATTTTACTTACTTGAAGTACTGACTGATTGTCAGATCTTTCTGTTGCAAGGTCATCAATTGATTCTCTAGGAGTTGAAGTCGAGCATCATTCTTCTTCGAAAAAAAGTGTGGCCAGCACATCTCATACCTCCTTCGGAGTTCTGGCATCTCGCATGTAATCTACGAGATCTTCTTCTACTGTTGTCTTCAGTACATACATAGTCTTGCCGGCTTTGATGTTCCACTTCCTTAGTACTTCGCCAGCCTGCCGAGGTGTTGTAGTTTCAGCACCCCCGATGACCTCCCAGAGGTCTTGTCCTTGTAAATAGGACTTCATACAAGTCTCCTAGTAGTTATAGTTTACCATTGAGTTTCTTGAGTTTAGTAGTCGTATTGGCCAGATCCGCTATCGTGACGTGGTACTGTTTCAGTATCTCCACGTAAGTCTGGTCCCTGACCAACCAACTTCACAATCCGGACTGAACATGAACTTCGGCCTTCAAGAATGTCGATAGGATCACCATAGGAGAGAGCAGGTCACTGACCGTCTTACTTCTATCACGAGCTACATCTTTCACTATTTCAAGTAAGCAGTAACCATACTTATGAACAGTAACCATATTCATGAATAGTACATCCTCATGAATAGTACTGTACTCATGAATAGTAACTAGTGCCTTTAAAGGGTAAATATTAATCTAACTTATTTTCTGATATGGAGGATCCACCTTTGGTGACAGCCACAGAGCATATGATAAGTAGATACACACATCCTAATTCAGACACTGATACCACTTGTTGAGTTGAGAGGAGTGGTGGATACTAAGAAATATATTATTATTATTTCTTTAGTGGTACAAACACATTATACTCTCAAATACAAATACTCTCTTTCTCTCTCTCTCTCTCTATCTTTCTCTTTCTCTCTCTCTCTCTCTCTATCTTTCTCTTTCTCTCTCTACTACTAGGATCTTTGTTTGATGCTCTAACTCTTCACCACTCTTATCTATTTATAGTCTTAAAAAAGGTTGGTGGAACAGTGTTTTTGGGTTGATGGAACAGTAATTGGTTAGTGAGTTACTGTAGCTAGGTAGATGGAGAGGTTAGGTGGGGTGGGGAGCTGTTGACTTCTAACATCTATGTCCCAATTTCTGCATTCAAAATAGACTAGTATATCCAAAAGTAAAGAAGGAACTGTAAAAAACTATCCAGTGAACTCTATCCATTGACACCTGTAGTCCAAAAAATTGTCTACCTTATCAATGAAAACATGGAGCTTTGGTGATGACAACTTTGATGCAATGCAAGGGTTCTATTCCTCTTGGAAGACCAGAACTTCAATGGATAGGATTAACTAGATAATTATCTCCTCAAATGATCAAAACCCCCATGAATTCAAGAATACTAGTGAATGAAACTGAAGTAAAGTCACCAAACACATCCAAATAAGAGGTATCCCAGTCATTACACTTAAAGACCAAAACATCCCAGCTGAGAATCCCTCGCCCTAAAGCAAGGGCAATAAGATCATGCAATATTTAAGGGTGGCAAAAGCTACCCTCTCATTTGAGCACCAATTTGAAATGACACCCCAGCACCAATCCAGAGTGGGTCCCACTACTCCCCTCACCTCATCGTTGTCCCCACCCACTCTCTCATGCCACCACCTTCTCTTAACTCTCCTATACTACAACTTCACCATCCTTTCTCTCTTCTCCTCCTCTCTCCTCCCCTAGTTTAGAATCCTAAGCCACTATGCTATCCCCCTATCAACTTGAATAATGTGCTCAGTATATAAGCACCATGTTCATGCAAGGATATCTCAGAATGTGCTGTCGCCCGATAGCGAAAAATGTTCCCCAATGCTAACTCCTTTTACACTATATATACTACTTAATTCCTCTTCCTTCAAAGTACTACACAATAACATATCAAGGGAAGAGGAAGAGGAGGAGGTGAAGAGATGGTGAAGTTTTCAAAGCAGTTTGAGGGTCAGCTTGTTCCTGAGTGGAAAGAGGCCTTTGTTGATTACTGGCAACTTAAAAAGGATCTTAAGAGGATGCAAATCCCTTTGAACAAGCCAGAACCTCCTTCTTTCACAAAGAGAATTCTTTCTCCATTGAAGAAGCTCCCTCCCTTTGGCTCTTATGGACACAAGGAACATGAAGTTATTCAGGCATTCTCTCATATATATATTTTTTAAATTGACTGCAGATAGAAAACCTGTACTATCGCCAAAACTGAACTTATTATTATCCTCTGTAGTTCTATTGTTGCAGATAGACGCGAGAGCGAAAATTCTATTGTTGCAGATAGATCCCCTGAAAATGTCAAATGAATTTCGCCCGGGGTTTCTACATGCAAGAATAGAACTATAGGGGTAGTAAGTTCAATTTGGTTGCAGTCTTGGGAGTCTATACGCCGTTAACCCTATTCTCTGTAGGAAGGTTGACAGGTTTAATTATATATTTACTTTTGGTTGGTTCAGGTTCATAAGAAGCTTGCGAGCTCAGAGAGCAAGGGAGATTTGTATGAGACGGAGTTGCTGGATCAATTTGCTGACACTGAAGCAGCGAAGGAGTTTTTTTCGAGGCTAGACCTTCAGCTGAACAAGGTGAACCAGTTCTATAAAGGAAAGGAGAGGGAGTTTGTGGAGAGAGGAGAGAGTTTGAGGAAGCAAATGAATATACTCACTGAGCTCAAGGCTGCACTTAAACAGAAGCAAGTGCAGGCCTCGGCTGCGAATGGTTATAAGGATGATCCCTCTGTATCATGCTCAATTACTTGTGGTTAGTGTTTTCCAACCAAAATAGTGCAGTTAACTATCTTTATGTAGAAAGTACAATGTGGATCGCAGGATTTATTTTCTAGAAGCATTGAAATATTTTTACAAACAATGCAAACATTTTTATTGATTTGTACCACGGGAAATTTTGATTTTTGCCTTAAAAGTGGAATATGCTTTTTAATGGTTGAAATAGAAGATTTAAGTTTTTAAAAGTCCATACTCTAATATAAAGTCCAGTTTGAAATTGTGTTTTTTTTTCGTAGGGCTTACAGTAAGGAAAATGCACCACCTGTTTCATCAAAAAGACTACTTTTTTAAGAAAAATGAAAGGGCAACACGACTCCAAATGCTTGCAATTTTGAGGATGTGAAATGGCTAAAATAGTTCTTTTACCACCCATACAGAGTTTCACGAATTTAGAGAGTGAGAAACATAAGTAGCTAATTTTCATGATGGATTAGAATACATATTTCTGAGGAAAAATTTTTACTAACCTCATTTTAGTTCGTAAACTTAAATGAAAGCTCACGGTCAGGGCTTACACGCAAATTATTTTCACATTTAGGCAGGGCATACACTGCGAATGAACACAAAAAAGCATATTCTTTATAAATATCAGTGCATATAACACCTAAGAAAGTAACAAATTTAAACAAGGGGGCAGTAAACAAGGGGGCAGTTTAAAGGTGCTTAATGAATTACAGTTCATCATGGTCTTCATTGCTTAAACATTTTCAATAGAATATATTATATTTATGCAACAAATCTAATTTCTCTACTGCATATTCTCAAGCGTTTTCTCTCTTTCTGAACAGATGACGAGTCTAACAGGGGCACGTCTAACCGTGAAAATTTCCAAGAGAGTTTATCATGTGAGTACGAAAAGAGTGAAGATGCGGTCCAATTCTCCGATTCACCACCTCAAGAGACCACGATCAGCTCTAAGAGTGATGAACAAGAAGGAAGACTGAGGAGCCTCTCTAGCAAAAAGTTCAACTCTGAACGAAAGAACCTTAAGATCAACATACCCCTTACTACACCCTTAAGAACTTTCTCTGCCCTCACTTACTTAATGCGAGGTGATAGTTTGAACCAATCGAAGAAATTTGGCCAAGAGGGCGGCAAGCTTCATGTCAACAAGACAAAGCTTCACCATGCTGAGAAAATGATACGAGGAGCTTACATTGAGCTCTTTAAAGGGTTGGGCTATCTTCGAACATATAGGTAAGTTTGTAACTCTAAAGCAATGAAAATGGACATATTTTTGTTGTTGTTTAATCTTATGATGAATATTGTGTTTCAGGCATTTGAACATGTTGGCTTTTGTAAAGATTCTAAAGAAATTTGACAAGGTATGTGTATATCATTCAGTTATTGTCTATGCACCATTCAGATTTGACATTGAATAAATTAGTACCTCAATAAGTTGTATCTATTGTGTTATAGGATTTGATTGGAAAGTTAATAGTTTTACAGTGTATATGTGTAAAGTAAGCAAATTTGTTAATATGGACTAACAACTTCTTTTACCTATACTCTAATAAGAGTTCTCCTTGGTTGTTTACATTTCAGGTTACAGCAAAGCAAGTCCTGTCCATATACCTCAAAGTTGTAGAGAGATCGTATTTCAACAGCTCAGATAAGGTATGCCTCTCATTAATTCATTCAAATTTCATACAGAAACATAATGATGAATTCAGTATCCTTAACATACTAATGCACTTATAACAGGCAATTAAATTAATGGATGAGGTAGAGGAACTGTTTGTTAAACATTTTGCTGATGATGATAAGAGGAAGGCCATGAAATACCTCAAGCCTCATCAACGTAAAGAATCACACGCAGTCACCTTCTTCATTGGTAATTACTAAAATTTTTGGTTTATATTAACAAGGGTACGTAAATTTCATAAACGCCCTTGAATATAGGCGTGTTATCTAAACCACCCCTAAACTTTATAAATCAGAGAAAGCCCCCTTCCAATTATTCAAAGCTATACAAAACCTCTTGAACTGTTGGAGATTATCATAAGCGACGTTACTGTTAATGGTAAAAAGTTGAAAATATTGTCACTATCTACATACCTTAACTTGAAAACTCTTTTTTAGTAAAATTAAAAACACATGAGGGCAAGATTATCCAAAACATGTCATGTCCAAGACGTGAACACTTAGACTAACTATCGTCAAGTATGGTACTTAAGTGAGAAGATATGGGGTGAGTTGTGATATTTACCCTACTTACAACTTTTATGCGTGTTTTCTTTAATGAATAATAAGTGATGGATCTTTCTTTTCATTTATATTCTATCAAAATAGGACTCTTCATGGGATGCTTCATCGCTTTGTTTGTGGGTTACTGCATCATGGCACACATAGCTGGCATGTACACTAAAAAATCAGACACCATCTATATGGAAACTGTATATCCTGTTCTTAGGCAAGTATTCCTCTCTAATTTTATTCTCAACCACAATCATTTCATTATTAATCTTAGCTCACTAAAACTTCTTTCTTTGTTGCAGTATGTTTAGCCTCCTATTCTTACACCTCTTCCTCTATGGCTGCAACATCTTCATGTGGAGGAAAACACGAATAAACTATAGCTTTATTTTCGAGTTTGCCCCTACGAAAGAATTGAAGTATAGGGATGTTTTCTTGATATGTACTACTTCAATGACTACAGTAGTGGGAGTTATATTTGCCCACTTGACCCTCACTGCAAAGGGATACACTTCAACTCGAGTCCAAGCCATCCCCGGCCTTTTGGTTCTGGTAATTTTCAGCTTATTTCCACCTTACTTTCAAGATTTTATCATCCTAAGTAACTAAAATGAATCTAAATTATCTCTTGACAATGACATTCTATTTGGATGTTAACAGATCTTTCTGCTGGTGCTCCTATGCCCTTTCAACATTGTCTACAGATCAAGCCGCTTTCATTTCATCAAGATCATCAGGAATATAATATTGTCCCCTCTTTATAAGGTGGTGCAACTTGAGGTCTAATTGGAGAAGCTCCTCTCTAGATAACAAGTTGAAGGACTAAATGCTTATACTATTCTACTTGCAGGTTGTGATGGTGGACTTCTTCATGGCTGATCAGCTTTGCAGCCAGGTATTGATCCCTTCTCCATTTAGTGCTTCCATTCAAAGTGTTGCAGACCTCGTATTTAGATTCTATGAAAAAAAAAATATTATGTGAAACAAGTTGACATTCAAATCAATAGACATATCTCTTGCTTTCATGCATATACATATATACATATGTATATAAATGTATATATGTATAAATACATATACATGAACAGAGGCTACCATGTCATTCCAGTTCCTACGGTGGGATGATTCAGACATGTTGCACATCCAACCCCGTTTATGATATGAATGTATCAATTATGTGTACTATAGATGGTTGGATGCATGGCAAGTCAAAGGCATGCTATACAAGAGGCTGAAGCCAAACATTAACTCATGTTTTCTGTGTACATACATGTATACAGCTTATGTATGTATGTGCACGTAGACAGGGATATCGAGTATGAGCTGGAATATCAATTTACAAAATGAGCTACTAAGTAATAGGACTAGTTAATCACTTTCTCTGATATGACCAGCATGGTTAGGCCTCACAGCTAGCCACCTCTAGTCTCTCTCTTAATTGCTCATTTAGTAAAATAAACTACCACTGTATGGATATATGTGTGTAACAAATTGCTGAAAATACTATACTCTAGTATATATAAAATTTTTAAGTGGTGACATCTAAGGTCCATGGAGATCACGTATCAAAAGACTCAATTTTGAGATGTGGTCTGATTTATTTGACATCAAAACATCAGGATATGGATTTTCTGTATGAATAACCTGAAACATACATGTAATCGACTGCTCTTGCAGATTCATGTATTTGCTAAACACTTGGTGAAAAGAATTAGAAATCAAGGAATTTGATTATCTTTCCGGAGCTCTAAATTTGGTAGATCACACTGACTCCTACTATTAACATGACTCCACTCGATGAGAGAGAGAAATTCTACTAACTGTCAAGCATAACGCACCACATATCTCCACTCAGTATCAATGAAAAGAAGTTCGTAACACAAGACCCTATCAAATTATTAGCAACTTTTCAAGTTCTAATATCCCTTGATTTCTCTAATCTTTAGTCTCTTTGATTTAATAAACAAATTAATAATCTACTATACCATGTATGAAATAGGTACCAATGCTTCGAAGTTTAGAGTATGTCGCTTGTTACTATATAACTGGAAGCTATAAAACCCAAGATTATGGGTTTTGTTCGAGCACTGCACACTACAGGGATTTGGCTTATGCTGTGTCCTTCCTACCTTACTACTGGAGAGCAATGCAGGTTCTACTCTAATCTCCCTTAGAAATATCTCAAAGGAAATCATACTTCCTTCTACTGATTTTTTATTACCAATTTAATTTATTGCATTTCTTTCTCAGTGTGCAAGGCGGTGGTTCGATGAAGGGGAAATGAGTCACTTAATCAACCTGGGGAAGTACGTGTCTGCGATGCTTGCAGCTGGTGCAAAGGTTGCCTATGAGAAGGACAAGACCATCGGATGGCTCTCCCTTGTTGTTGCCATGTCAAGCGCCGCAACAGTTTATCAATTGTACTGGGATTTCGTCAAGGATTGGGGCTTGTTACAGACTAATTCAAAAAACCCATGGCTCAGGAATGAGTTGATCCTTCGTCGCAAGTTCATATACTTTCTATCTATGGTAAATATACCTCTTGACATTAATGGAAATGTTATTGCAATGTGGATATAAATCCAATACATTTGTACATAAATAAACACATACATACACATATACATTTACATACATATGTAAATACACACATCTATTCATATACCTGCAAATGTCTGTGTATGTGTGTGTAAGTGTGTGTATGTATATATATAACTATATAAGTATATGTGCACGTAGATATTAGCATGATTATTTCCGCTAGCATAAGGACTCATTTTTTGTATAAGTACAATTTAAATTACTCTTTCAATTTGACTTTTTCCCCCTTAGAACTATTATGTATGACTCAAGTAAGAATCAAAATTGACAGACTAATACATGAATGTTATAAGATTAATTTCTTTACAAAATATCGCATGAACATACGTGCATAACACTTCTTCTTGCTTTGCAATATTGTATAAATATTTTGAATTTCAGTTAAAAATGTTAATTTGCACACTATCATCATGTAAAACTCATAATTGATGCACGGATGATTAGGTGATTGTGTTAACAAAGATATGATAGCGCCAATATAAAATTGAAATAAACTTGTTGAGCTAGCAAAGTTACATTGATTCTAGGGGTTGTATATAAGACAATTTCTTTTCTTTTTCTTTTTTTTTTATTTTGCAGGGATTGAACTTTGTTCTAAGGCTGGCTTGGCTACAAACCGTTCTCCACTACAATTTTAAGAGCTTGGACTATAGGGTGACTTCATTCTTCTTAGCAGCACTTGAAGTGATTCGTCGCGGACATTGGAACTTCTATAGGTAAATCTCGATCTATGTGTTTCCTAAGTACACATTCAGTTTCAAACTAGAAGTTCCTTTTAATTTACCATTATCCAGGTGTAAATAAGATGAAATGTGGTTTACATAATTTACCATTATAATATATAATTTTCACTATTTCAGGTTGGAGAATGAGCATTTAAATAATGCAGGCAAGTTCAGGGCGGTTAACATTGTTCCACTACCTTTTCATGAAGTGGATCAAGATTAATTATCACTATAAATATACGAAGATTGGGTGACAATGGCATTGGTAGAAGATAACTCATCATATTATGACAATTCGGTGCTTCAGAAAAAATATACTCTAGTTCAAATGGTGCTTAGGAAAGGGTAGGAACTTGTATATGATGATTCATTCATGATGCTACAATTGCAAGAAAGTATCCATTCTCTGTCTTCTACATTGGTTTACTGATTTTATCAACAATGGAATGATTCAGAATTTTAAAAATTCATTGCAAGTATGATACTTCTAAGTTATGATACTTCTAACTTTGCAATAAACTTAGCTCATGGCTGTTGGTGTAAAGATTTTTTTTGACAGAAAAGGAGTTGCCTATGAAGAGCAATTCCATGATGAAAAGCCTTCACAAAGAACTTCGGCAGAATATTATGAATATATATATTCTCTATGCTCAAAGCGATGAATTTCTTAGTAAGGCAGAAATATGCAAACTTCAAAATACCAGAAGCAAACCCTGTAAAATTATTGTAGAAAAAGAGAGTGAAGTATTTGTCCCGTGTCAATTAGAGGATCATTGAGATTTTTAGAGAGTACATGAATATATGCTGGCCTGGCTTAACCTTACCTGAACAAGCTAGCTAGATTCCCTGTTGAGGTCTGTACTAAGTGTTGGGAATGTTGGGCGCAGAGTCACGCCCACCGCCGCGGAAGCGATATCAGCTGAGAGAGAGCCCTGGCTTTTGTTGTCACAAAAGCACAAGTCAACCTCTATATTCTTGTCTCTCAAAGGAAACGAGAATAGATAATGAAATTCTTATTTCTCAAAGGAAACAAGAATCGAAAGTGATATATTTCATCAAAGTGAAATATACACTCTTCCTCTCATCAGCTCTAAGACCGAATTTTGAGGGATCCTACAAGCAATACCCAACAACCCAGAAAACAGTAAATACACGAGATTTACGTGGTTCGGCAAACTTGCCTACGTCCACGGGAGGGGTGAGGGGAGATACCACTATAAGGAGAACACCGACGACTTGTACAATCCACAAGCTCGTCTCAAAGATCTGATTTTTACCCAAAAGAAATAAACCTCTCTTTTGTAGAATCTCTCTTTTTCTCTCCTCTCAAACAGCCGCCAAGAACTCACTTTTCAGCAGCAAGAACTCTCTGCTATTTTATTTCCTCGCAGTCTTTTCCTCTGCGTTTTGTTCTCCAAGTCGCTGTTCCCTTGCACCTTTTCCGCAGCAATTGCTTTTCTCCAAAGCCGAACTTTGTTCCCGCTGCAGCTTTTTTTTTTCTCACAAAACCCTAGGTAGTCATAGGTATTTATAGGAGAGTAGCAGATGAGAAATCGGTTGCAGGCTCGGTTGCAGGCGCGTGAATGGCTAAGATGCACATGGGTGCGGCCCACCTTATCACCTCACGTGAAGAAAAAAAAAAAACTTCCGCTTCTTCTTTACCGCATGAATGGTTATGTGGTCCCCATGCTAACACCGTTGTTCACAATTCTCCACCTCGTACATCATTTGATAAACCTCAAATTTTGGACGAACACCAGAAGAACACCGAGAACATCACCAGAAATCTAAAATCGGCCAAACCAGGCCAAACCAGCTGCGCCACTTTACCGCGGCTGCCTACATACCCTCCACCGGGATCAAGCTAACCGTAGTTCAGGAATATGTTCTCCATCATAGTCTCCACCACACCCCATCACCGCCCCGAAGGGCCATGCCCTCTCGGGCAAATCAACACGGGCTGATATGAAGCAAGTCCAAGCAATGCTTAAACTTGCTACCTGTGACCACCTTGGTCAACATGTCTGCTGGATTCTCATTCGTGTGCACCTTCATAAGAGAAATATCACCTTCCTCTATGACATCCCGCACAAAATGATACCTGACATCGATATGCTTGGTACGACTGTACGAGCATGATGAACTTGATTCTTCGCCAAGTGAATCGCACTTTGACTGTCGCACCACAAGTTCACGTTCTCCTGCTCAATCCCCAAATCGTCTAGAAGACCCCACAACCACAATGCTTCCTTCACTCCCTCCGCCATGGCCATGTACTCGGCCTCTGTAGTAGAAAGTGCCACTGTAGCCTGCAACATCGATCGCCAACTAACTGGAGCTCCATGTATCCTGAATACATAACCAGTAGTAGATCGCCGTTTATCTAGATCACCCGCATAATCAGAGTCAACAAACCCGTCAATCTGACATGTATCTCCACCAAAACACAGACCCGTATCCGCGGTACCTTTCAAGTACCTCAGGACCCATTTCACCGCTTCCCAGTGCGCCTTTCCCGGATTCGCCATGAACCTGCTGACCACACTAACCGCTTGTGAAATATCTGGACGTGTACACACCATGGCGTACATCAAACTGCCAACTGCACTAGCATAAGGAACACGCTCCATGTGTGCCTTATCTTCCGCTGTAGTGGGAGATTGTTTACCTGAAAGCCTGAAGTGTGGAGCCAATGGAGTCGCCACCGACTTAGCACTTTGCATCCCGAACCTCGCGATCACCCGCTCTATATAGCCCTTCTGACTCAAGAACAATCGCTGATTCGCCCGCTCTCTTCTAATCTCCATACCCAGTATTTTTCTAGCAGCGCTCATGTCCTTCATCTCGAACTCTTTACCAAGTTGAGATTTTAGCCTATCTATCTCCACCCTGCTCTTTGAAGCAATAAGCATGTCATCCACATACAAAAGGAGATAGATATAATCACCTCCACGAAGCTTCTGAATGTAAACACAACAATCGTAATCGCTTCGGGAAAACCCATGCTTTAGCATGAAGGAGTCAAATCGCTTGTACCACTGCCGAGGAGATTGCTTTAGTCCATAGAGTGACTTCCTCAAGCGACATACATGATGTTCCTTATTCTCAACCTTGTAGCCCTCAGGTTGATGCATGTAGATTTCTTCATCCAAGTCTCCGTGCAAGAAGGCCGTTTTAACATCGAGTTGTTCCAGCTCAAGATCACCATGAGCAACAATACTCAATAGCACCCGAATAGAAGTGTGTTTCACCACCGGAGAAAAGATCTCATTGTAATCCACACCCTCTCTTTGTGCAAACCCTTTAGCCACTAGCCTCGCCTTGTACCTTGTACCACCGAGCTCTGAAGAATCTTCCTTTCTCTTATACACCCACTTACAACTAATAGCTTTTCTTCCTACGGGCAATGGGACCACCTCCCATGTTTGGTTCTTCCGAAGAGATTCCATCTCCTCCTCCATCGCAGCCAACCAACTCTCACTATCTTTGTCCCGAATAGCTTCCTTGAAGGAGACCGGCTCATCTTCCTCCACCGAGAGTGCGTATTCAACCAAATTAACCTGTCCATAGTGCTTTAGGGGTTGATTAGCCCCCAGCTTCTGTACCTGCTTGTATACTCGCTTTGGCCTAGTGGAAGCCAAAGTATCCTCGAGCTGCTGTTGTTGTAGTGCCTGTGTATTCTCCTACTGAACCTCCTCTTGCTCAAGCTCATCATCTACCTGATTTTCCACTTGAACATGACTAGAACCTGGTTGGTCTTTAGGTTCTATCTCAATAACCTGGGACTTTGAAGTCCCAACACCATCATCTTTGGGCGCCCTAGCAATCATGGATTTTTCATCAAAGGTAACGTTCCTGCTAATCACGAACTTCGAATCTTCTGTACACCAAAGGCGGTAGCCTTTTACACCCTTTGCATACCCCAAGAATATCGCCTTCTTGGCCCTCGCGTCAAGCTTTCCCTCGTTGACGTGATAATAGGCGGTACATCCGAAAATTCTGAGCCTCTCATAATCTGCATGTTCCCCTGACCACACCCTATAGGGTGTATCACCATCTAGTGTAGAATGTGGAGAACGGTTCACAATATAACATGCTGTAGCCACCGCTTCTGCCCACCATTCGTTGCCCAATCCAGCATAAGATCGCATACTCATTGCCTTCTCCCGCAATGTTCGGTTCAGTCTCTCCGCGACCCCGTTCTGCTGTGGTGTTGACCTGACTGTCCAGTGTCAAACAATGCCCTCTTGATCACAGAACTCTTTGAAAGAACCGTCTGTATACTCTGTACCGTTGTCAGATCTTAGTGTCTTCAATTTCTTGCCCGTCCTGTTCTCAACCATTGCTTTCCACTTCTTGAATGTCTCGAATACCTCATTTTTATGCTTAAGAAAATAAATCCAAGCATACCTAGAATAATCGTCTATGAACGAGACAAAATACCTGGAACCACCCTTGGAAGTTGTCTGAGCCGGACCCCAAACATCCGTGTGCACATAATCTAGTATACCTCTGCTCTTGTGATTGCTTTTCAAGAATTGGACCCTGTGCGTCTTTCCATACACACAATCCTCGCAAAAATCCATGCGAGGTTTCTTCAGATTCTTCAGCAAACCCTCCTTACCAAGCAGAACTAGACCCTTCTCTGACATGTGCCCAAGCCGCCTATGCCATAACCGTGTGTGCTCACATGGGTCTCCACCACTTCCTTCAGTTCCAACCGCCTCCTGTAGGTAGTAAACCACTTCCTATTTGGACACATATGGTAAGAGCAACCAGAATCAAGAATCCACTTCCCGGAGGTATCCTCGCTACCCGTAACAACATAGCATTCTTTATCGCTCCCTTCCTCCGATGCGTAACTCGCCTCTTCCTTGCCTTCTCTTCTCTCGGTCTTGTTGTTGTTCTTTTTCCCACCTACTCTCTTGTTAGGACAGTCGACCTTGAAATGCCCAACTTCACCGCATTTGAAGCACGCTCGTCCCGCAAGAGGTCTCGATTTAGATCTAGACTTTCCTCCCTTGCCTTTTCCTCGCTCATTGCTCCTTCCTCTAGCAAACAATCCCTGGGCTTGTTCTTTGTTACCATCAGTAGTCATGTCACTGGTTACAATCTTCCGAAGGTCATCCGCTAGAAGCGCCGTTCTAGTCTCATCCATCGTCAAATTGTCTCCCACAAGCATCAGTGTTTGCACCAGGTTCTCATAAGACTTCGGCAGAGATAGAAGTAGTAGAAGCGCCTGATCCTCGTCTTCTACAGTCACATCGATGTCCTTCAAATCCGATATTATCCTATCGAACTTGTTGATGTATTCCCGGAGTGATGAGCCCTCCTCCATCTTGCAAGTATACAATTTGGATTTTTCTAACTTCGACCACACGCCTGCAGCCGTTTCCTCTCCATCTACCAAGAAAGCTACATCCCTTTCAAGGCAAAGGATAATCGACGCCCGTGCTTCCAGATCCAGCTCT